TTTCAACCAATATTGAAACCATAAAAACTCCTCATCTATAGAGAAATACCTTTCCAATGGTTTTGAAATCGGTTCGGTAGAATCGCCAAACGAACGCTGACAAAATTTTTATTAGCGTATTAATATATGTATACCTAGATTTGGGAAATTTTTCAGAAAATTTAACAATCTCGTGTTGTTCCATCGCAATTATCAGGAAAACTCATTGAATATTTTCAATACATATTTTTCTTTATTTAACATCATAAATATGCGATTTTTTCAATACACGGATTAAATACACAAATAACTTTTTTCGCTGCAACTATTCGTTCAAAAATACTTTTTCTTGGAGATATTTGTAAATAATTTTTGCCTTGATTTCTCGATTGAAATATCTTTTTTTGGTTTAGAACCCCTTTTAGCATCATTACCGATACACACCTAAATACATATAATATTCGTGTATGATTGAAGATTAGCGTTTTGAACAAGGCAACAGTATACATTTTGTATGTATGTATGAAGGTAAATATGCATTTTATTTTGTATATAAAATTAACAGATAGCACTTACTAGTAGTAGAGTTTTTGTGCTTCGATAATGCCGTTTTCTTTTTTGTTTGTTGGCTTTAATGCTAAACTAAATGCTAATATGCTTAAAAATATATATTTTTTTTAAACTAAAAAGTTAAGTAATTATTTTTATAGTCGAAATAAAGAGAAATAGGAACTAAACTAAATGGTAGTTTCCGACTTGTGAAATAATACTTTACAAATAATAGGTTTCTTGTTTTAGACACGCTTTTGCCATTTACCCTTTCAGTGTTTTTTAAATTAGTAATTTATTATTAAACTAAATTTAAAGCCTTTTAATTACACACTTATTTGTTGACCAAATGTTATATAAAACTAATAAAAGAAAATGGCAATACCCGTTCTGGGACCGGAAGAGTGGCGCAAGCATTTCCATCTTAAAAACAGTCACATCATTTTATTGCACTGCCTTTCATTGTTAATACTAATAAACAGATTGGTTGTCTCATGCTGAATACTTATACTGTTGATTCTGAAGATAAAACATCTAAAAAGTGTACTTGATTTTCTCTTTAGATCCTGCGGTTATAAGTCAAATGAATGATAGTTACTCTTCCACAGAAGGAACCTATTTTGAATAGTTCATTTCATTTTGAAGTCGGCTTCAACTAATATTTCAGCTAATATTTTGAGGACTTTTGATTTTGTTTCCCTGATTTGCTTACAAAAAATTTTACTTGTAACNTCATATGCAGTACATTTTATAAGCATACAATTAATTTTACTATGAAATAATCGTAAGCTCGCTCTCAACAAGTGCATTTTTAAATTTGGTTCGACTTTATTTCCCGTTTTTTGTACTTTCGCAAAATCAAAGTTTGCTCGCATCTGTAAAAATATCAAATCTTGTGCTCTCACAACTACAACTAGTTACATAGCTCATTTCTTAATCATTGGTTTGTAAGCGTGTCTTAGCTAAGCTTATTTTCAAAATGGGAATATCCACTTAAAATTAAAAACGTTTTACAAAATGCTTTCAAATTTATGACATTTACAAATAGTAAGCTTAACAACTTGTACTTTTTTTCGTAGCAATACATCCATACATTTTTGCACTGAATTTTGTGTTATATGAGCCGTGAGACATGGTGAAAAAAAACCATTTTCTTTTGCCTTTAATGCTGTGTCTTTTAGTTTTCATATCAGCTGTGTTAGCTGCACGCTGAAAATGCTTTCAAACTGTAAACATGTCATTATATTTAAAACGGATGAAATTGCTTTGTCGTCTCTTCTTTAGTCACGTAGCGCTTTTCTTCTCTCCCAAGCCACTTGCATGGACCAAATGCTTAGCGGTCTCATATAACCAATTGATCGATAGTGCTTTTCACCATATAACGCTTCTGGCGTCTCGAAATTCATACCAATTCTCTCACTCAGCGTTTTGTAGAGTCCACCAGCGGTTTGGAAGCCCTCATCAAACATGCCCTAAAATAAATAAATTTTTTGGTAAAATGATTTTTTAAGTTTGTATAGTAAAATATGCATGTTGTAATATGTGAAAATACACATTTTGTATGTATAAATTCCTTATATATGTCCTTCGAGATAGAATAACCTATAAACTCCACTAAGGACAAAATTGGTTAGTGATTATCCCTTGTAAAGAGAGAATGTTTAAGCACAGACATTGGCCAAAAATATAAAACAAATTAAATAAAATTATTTTTTTCGAATGACGTGATCTTTTAGGCCAATGTTTTTCGGAACTAAAAACACCTACACACAAAAAAAGGCGTGTGTGCTTTTAACCAGATCCACCTACCGACACGTACTTCGATCCACTATCGATAGTCCGTTTGACTCGTACTCCTAAATTTCGGGTTATTTGCGAAAATTGTGAAAAAATGGCAATAAATTCGAAATTTACTAGGAATTTTGAGGGTATACGAACGGACCTCAGATTCGGATTCAAAGGGTCGAAATACCAGTCGGTTGGTGGGTGTGGTTAAAAGCACACACCACTTTTTTTTTATGTGCCGGTGAAATTAGCGAAAATGGATGTAATTTTCTATACGTTTCCAGAGTACGAAAGCCGCACTGTTTTTCGATACAAGATTAACGAAATTGAAGACGACCTTTCTGTACTTTGCTTACGTTTCTCTGCTGGCTGGGGTGTGAACGGATGCATACATGCGACAAAACCCTTTAGAAATGTACATTAGGGCGGGTCAATTTGTACGGGAGATTTTTTCGACTATGCGCGTATAGCGCACAAGGATTCTACTGTAGTTCTAAGTAAATTTGCCGTAGAAAACGTGGGTCTAAAATCAATTTGGAATTTGCCAAATCACGAAAATAGGTTTCTTAGCATTTATTTGTTGTAGAAGTGTACATTGTTAAAACAGCTGAATTTTCGTATGAGGAACACTGAACTATTTTTCTTAAACTTAGGAGTGAATATACTTAAACTATTCATTTGGCAACTCCAATTGTTTAGACCAGTTTCTTCGGTCGTAATGTTATAGCCAGTAAACAATTCCGCCCTAATGTACATAGTCACCATTACAAAATATCGTATGCCGAGTTTCCATTAGGCACGAAATGACAAAAATTGTAAACCATTTTCAAAGAGCCATGCGAGAATCAATAGCTATTTACATTCATATATCAACAGTAAAGACATGGGTATTTTTGAATGCCAACTCTGTCATTAAAATTTTGTCATTTATTGGTGAGTGGAAATCCGACGAAAACGATACTTGAAAAAAAATAAAGATTTATTTATTTCTTAGAAAATTCATGAAGAAAACCGCTTTTAAAAAACTCATTTCGGGCGTTTTGTACTGATGACCATGACATACACACATAGTTTTAACCTTTTTATGTATCGCTTCTTTAACCATGTTGTGAACACAATTTATGTATTTTTTTATTGACTAAAATTTTCAGCTAAATAAGCTGCCGCATACAAAAATAGATGTGAAACTTTCAAGTGCCGAAAATAGAGTTTGTATGCGTGTTCTTAGCTGTCTCGAATGTATTTTGGATAATTTTTCTAAAGCAATATATAAAATGAATTAAAGCTTAAAATATTTGTGGTTACTTGTTTGTTTTTTTTTTAATTATGCAAATTTTTTCAGACGATTAAAATACAATTTATCTTTTAATACTCGCTATCTCTGTAAAATTCGCGCTGGAAATACTATACGTTTATTAGCATTTTAAATTGTGTTTTTAAAAATTTACGTAGAAGCTGAAACACTTAGTCGCTTTTGTTAAGGTCTAATTTTTGCTGGGGTAGCAGCATACCTGTAGGTAAATTTTAAACTTTAGAAATTTCACAGCTCAACAATCAAAGACGTAAACTTAATTTTGGCCTCTAGATTACGATGCCGCTTTCAGAAAATCCGTATCACGTCAAAATTTTGAGATATTTAGGAGGCAAGTTTTAGAACTCTGACGGTGAAACTTTCGTCGCTTATAACACTGTGCTCAGGTTTTGAACTGTTTTTGAGCAAAGGTTTTGGTAGCGACCTTACTTAATTTGGAACCTTCTTAGTTCAATGGCGTCCCCCGTTTTGCCAGATTAGCTCCAGTTTTTGCCATAACGGTGCTTGAAAATTTGCATAACTTTTAACTTTTTTGTTAATGATTCTCCTCTGAAGTTTTGATACAGCCTAACTATTTAAATCTCGAATCGCATACAATTTAGCCCATCAACTATGTTCAGATATGTGGTTTTGCTTTATAACTCATATTTTATTTCGTAATATTTCTTACTTTTATTAGGCTGTACACTATTTCTATTTCACTGTCGCGGTAAGGATTTTCTGAAAACGGCATCGTAATATAGAGGCCAAAATTAAGTTTATGTGTTTGGTCGTTTAGCTGTGATATTTTTGCCCCCCCTACTGTGTTATTGAAGCCAACTTTATCAGAGTTTTTAATTACTAATTTCTAAAAACAAGTGTACTTGTATTACCTAAATCTCATTGTTAAATAAAATACTCAAAAAGAGTTTTTCTAATATACATTTTTTATTTAGCAATTTAATTTTAGCAGTAGTAAAATATCAATAAAAATAACCACAAATATTTGTCGCTTGAAGGAATTTATAAATTGTTTTACAAAAAAAAAAAGTGGCCTTAAGTTGTGCAAACTAAGAAAAACGCATAAAAATTACTCTTTTCGGCACCTTGAAGTATCACATGCATTTTTGTGTGCGGCGAATATAGGGAGAGAGGGCCAGGTTGTGTGACAAATTTTGCACTATTCTTGAATTAATGACAAATTTAAAGAAATCATCATCCCTCCTCCTCCTTTTTGAGTTGCCAAAAGAAACAAAACCCTTTGAAGCGATGAGAAAAGAACGATGCCCCACTCATTTACATATGGTTGTTTGTTGTTAGTGTTTTAATGTGAGCTTATTTTTGTAAAAACTTTTTGATTCGTTTATTATGTAAAATAATAGGAGCTGCATTTTAATTGACTGAATGCAGTTTGTTATAAAAATTTGTACATATGTAACTAGTTTACATGTAGTTTACTTTAGCACTTTAAATATTCTATTAAATTTTTACGAATTATCTATTTTAAAAATAATTTCGTTAGACAAACCAAAAAGCTTTTTATGCATATAATGATTTAAGCAACACAACAAAAAAACTTAGTAAACCAGTTCAACACAATTCTTTTTCTATACTAACAAAAAATGGTTTTGTCTCTTCAGGCTTTTATTTCATTGTACACATATGCATTTACATACATACATATGTATATACATACGTATGTAGATACATAACGTATACGATTAAACGACTAATAACATAATTTACAAAGACTTACCTCTTGTATCATAGTGGCGGCTAAAGCAAAAGTAACACCTGGCCATACCTCCTCGCTTTGTAAAGTGGTGTAATCGGCGTGGCCTGGTTTTTCAGGATCCGAATTAGCAATGAAACCGTTGACTGCACCAATATTGCCGCCGTAGAAACCCATAACATTATTTTTGTAGATTTCTTTTAAAGCTGCACGTACATTCTCCTTTGAATAGACCTGTGAAACAGAAACGAAGGTGAGCAGAAATTGTATTCGGTATGTATAAATTGAACTAATGAAACTCACTTCATAATCGAATCCACATGTTTTCAGATACCAATGTCCACACAATTGATCGGCCATTATAGTGTCCTTGTTGTGCATATCGAAACGGTAATAACTGCCATTCCATAGTTTTTCTTCCAAAGAACGCTTGCCTTTCTCCAATATATCCTGAAAACGAAGGCAATCGTTGGGCTGATCCAGCAGCGTAGCCATTACCGACATAGTTTGCAAGGCAGCGAGCCATAGGCCTGCACAGTAGGCGCTGAAATAAAGGAAAAAAAGGAATGTTAAAATTATATGTTATGTAAATTTCTTTTCACACTTACCTAGGTCCATCCATTACCCAGGTATCGTACGTTTGATCTGGCGATTTCGTATTCTCAATTAGTCCATCATTATCTGTGTCATATTCTATGGTACGCTCCATAATTGTTTTACATGCTGGATACATTGCCTTCAAGTAAGCCATGGCATCCATAAGATAAACTTTGCCGTTCGTTTCATTGATGTACAACGATGCGGATTTGCGATTTTCTGGAAATGGTAAAAATAATGTTTGAATTGAAAAAAAAAAATACATTAATCTTTCTAATAAAACTTAAAAAAAAAANGGGAGAGCGCTGACGAAGCATAAAAATGTACATCGTAAGTATTATACATGCGGTACTCGTGGCCCTCTAAATAGCCAAAGCGGCCGTAAGCCAACCTGAAAAAGAAAACGTACATATAGTATTAGTGGTTAACTGTAAATTAAAAGAAAAAAAAACAATTAGAGAGCATTATATTGGTTCATATCTTTTAGGTCGTGACATTGAAGACTTTCGTCTGAAATCAGTTCCGTTAAGATCCTAGATAGAAATCTTCAACCAGATTTGCAGGCGTTCAGCGATTTCCTGATTTTTAGCGTATATCTAAGTAAAAAGCGCTGAACACCTGGAAAACTTAATTCGTTTACTACATACCTGGGGTCATCATAGTTCAATTCCTTGCCGAATGAGGAATCACAAGTAAGCCAAATTGTACCGCCATCCGAAATATAATAGAGTTGATTAAATATGGCGCATTTGTACCAGTCAGGCAGTCCACTAAAATTAACAATTTTTCGAAGTATTTAACATGTTTTCTTATACTTAATACACACATAAATATACGTGCTGATATTCAATAGCATTCAACAACTTACTCATCATTAAGTATTGGACGCTGCCAAGCATCAATCAATTTCTCCCAGCTGCCATAGTGCTTCAATGCATACTCGCATATCTTTGGACCAGCTTCGCCAGACGCATCAAAATATTTTGTGTAGTAACGCGTATAGTTTTTGTGCTTCTTTGGGAAATGTATGTGTGGCATATCCCAAACTAATACGAACTCCAAATCATGACTAGAATTTGGTTTGACTGCAACTTGTGCGCATAAAGCAACACCGAGATCCTTGGCTGGTGAAGGAAAATAGGAAACATATTAATGCAGATGCAGTGTAATACAAAATATGTATTTTATTTTAAAAATAAGTAAAACATGCATTGAAATCACAGTTACATATGTAGCTCTTCCACCATTCCAATTGTTTACTCACTTTTCAACGCCTCATCGCAATGCTTCTCACTAAGATGTCCGTTCTCCTTCAAATCGGACCATAGCTGCTCTCCCGTGCCGCTCGGATCGAACTGCGTGCAGCGTGTAATACTGATTTCGGGCAATACGCGACAACCCAAATTATAGGTGCATGGCATGCCAGCGATCTTCTGTCGTATGCCTACGCCCTTCACATTGCCCTGCGATATGAGCACCGCCTCAGCGCCGCCCTCTGCATCCTGCTTCTTGGTGCCGGTACCATTCTTGAAGGTGAATGTAATGGATACCTTACGCTCCTCCGCGCACACATTCTCCACAGACCACACGAAGACGGCGCATGGCAGGCATGAATCTTTGTAGTCGTGCGGTATGACGGGCGAAATCTGACGACAAATCAGTCGCACGCCGTACGCAGTGAGATCATATTCGGTCCAGGCGCGCGGATAGAGACCTGTGTATGAGCATTTCGTGTCGTCGATGTTGGAGTGCCAGGCATTTAGCGGTTGCTTGGAACGACTGCTGCAATTGGGCATATTACTTGTACATTGAGAGTTGATGCTGTCGAGGGAGCTACGCGGTGGATATGGATTGTTCGGTGGTTTGATTGGGAGCAGGAGGAGGGGAATTTGGAGTTGATTTTGCGGCAGGTGAGCGATTCGAATGATGAGCAAAATGAGGCGAGAAGAGATGAGTGATACATTTATACGAAAATAATTAATGGATTTGATAAATGTGCGATGAAAGTTGATATTAAACGATGAGCAACAAAAGGTAAACGCGAAGCAAAGATTCACGCAAAATATCAATCCAAATGCATTTTTGTTTTTGAAATTGGATTACCATTTCCCCAATTCAACATGTGTATTGTAGTGTAGGTGTTGGCGGCATTGAAGTCCGTGGTGCAGAAAATTTTCGGTCGTAGGCAAATAAAATTTAGCACACAAATCAAATTTCGAATAGCGGGTGTGTGCAAGTAAATTTTGAGCGTGTGATTTTGCACAAAAGAGGGTAAGATAAAATATGGAAAAATAAATTAAAAAGCACAATTGCAAATAAAGTTGAAAACTTTATCATGTTTTGTGTTAGCTTCAAGGATTGGTTGTTTTTTAAACTTAACAGTAAGACGATACAACTGAACACGAACTTAATACAAGAACATCAAAATACGTAAGTACATAGGTGTGTTATTCTAAATTACAACTACGCGGGGGCATAAACATTAAAAATAGAAAATAAACTGTTAAAACGGTTGGGGCAATATCAATGGACGTTAAGATATAAAATAAATCAGAAGTGGAATACTAAATATTAAAAAGTAACTAGTTCTAATAAACATACGAGGCTTATATCTTCGTTTAAAGTACAACACCGCGTATCAATAAAATGCAAAACCGCGTATCAAGATAATGAAAAAACCGCGTATGTGAGGCTGCATAAATTATTTTCTAGAGAGTAAAAATACTCAGATTTCAAAATGGTTATCTGTTTTTATAAAGTAATCACATTTCTGGCTAGTACATTTCAGGACGAATGGATAAGGATTGAGCCAAGAGCTTGTGTGAGCAAATCCAGTTTTTGGCAGCAAATGAAGGGGCTAGAACCATAAGGGTCTAAGTGACATTTTTGGAAAATATAAGTCATACTCATATTTGTATAGTTAAATATAGTGTTTATTTGGCGACAAAGAGGTTAGTTAATTAACCTGCATTCATTTAGGCAAAAGTCATTTCAAATGCATTTACCCAGAATTTACAATAAGTAATCGACTTTAAACTTAATTATCTCAAAAAAATATCAGACCTACTTAGATCCTTTTGATTCAATGTCTGTTACGCGGTTTTGCAGAATGACGATACGCGGTTTATTACTTTAAACGACGATATGTTTTTGTGCTTCTATTAGAGAATGTTGGGACGATGAATCCAGCTTGGAACAACATGCATATCATGCCTCTAAAACGTGACAAATAACTCAGCACATCTTCAAGATGCCTTACAAAAGCATTAATACCGAAACTTACCTAAGTTAAAATCGTCAGTATACATTGCTTATGTGGTTATATTGCTAATAGAACTATAAAGTGTATTCCGCCCTAAAAATATGCTTATGTGGAGACTGGACCCTAACTCTGCGAAAAAGCTATCAAAACACTAGCGAAAGTGGATTAAACCCACGTCTGAAAGGTTTTTTATGCAACCCAACACAACATTTCACTAATATTTATGAAGTCCATTAAGCAAAAATAGCACTCAGGGCTTTCACTGAATCCATTGCCCAATTTTTCACTATTCTACGAAAATATTTGTCCCGTTCTTCATGCAGTGACACATTTATAACGCGGGAGTTGCATACCAGACCGGCTTCGCCATTGCTGGATGGAAAACGGGGGCATTTTGGTACAAAACTGGTGTGTTTTATTTTCTTACATCATTTTAACATAAAGATAAAGTTTCTGTTGCTTTTAATTCTAGTGGAAACGTAATCGTAAGAATGGAAAACAAACTGATTCAGAACGAAAAATGACACTGAAGATGGTATAATGCCGAAACCGGTTTTTCTCGAAACCCAATTTGACAAGGGATGACGGAAAATCGTTTCAGAATACATCATACTCCTACCCTGTCGGAAACACAAACAACTAAAAAGAAATTATTGACTTCTTATTTTTGGACAAATAGAAACTTTCGGCCTAATAAGGACGCTTAAAGAGTGCGTTGGATACTTTTGCGGAAGAAACTCGATCAAATAAGCTAACATCGATATCACCGATTAACCGAGTAGTGGCTGCTTTTGAAATTTGTGTGAAATGCAGTTACCAACACGGAGTTGGTGCAGATTGGGCAAATTTTATGCGCAAACGAGTTCCTAAATTTCAGGTTTGCCGAGGAGCCGAAGCTTTTATACTAAAATGCATGATAAAATAATAAAAATAAATGAAAAAATAATAAGCGAATAAAAGGAATGGATTCCATTCAATAATTGCATTGACTTGGGTTTTCTGCTAATTTTCGACATTTTTAATTGTATTTTAGCCAAGAAACAAAAATTGCTTCACAAAATCCTGGTTGATCTTTAAAACAGTCACTTTACGCACCTACATACACCTTTTCACAAAATAGAATCGTTCTCCATCAACGAATTTGCAACTTACAAAAAAGTAACTACGATCGAAATATAGATTAGATAGAATCGTAATTTTCAAAGATTGATCGAAACCAAAAGAATAAAAACGTAGAATACCATAGTTGCCAAACTGAGATATTTCCGATACCAGTCCAAATGCTGCAGTTTTGAAAGTCTTCTCTTTAAATTTATTGACAAATAAGTACTAAAAATTTTAC